AAGACTTAAGAGTATAATAGCAGGACTTTAAATACAGGAAAAGGAGGCATAATGATACAATAGCATGATATAAAGCTCAATAAAGTATAAAGCTAAAGAAATCGATTGTTAATGATTTTAAAGCTCTTGAAACTATTCAGATGTCATGGTACGGGTAAAGACTTATATTGTACCATAAGGGTAGAAGGGCTATGGAAGAGAGAGGACATACTTATAAGAAGTAGGGCACGCTAATGATCAATGCCTGAGGCACTAAGACAACTACAGAGTATGTAGCTAGCGCCGTGACATCAGATTCTAATTAAATATCAAGAATAGCAAGGCGTTCCTGATATGAGTCTAATCAAGAGTCTATGTAAGAAAAAGTGTGAAATAGAGCTTAAATCTGATCAAGGGAGAGTACAAGATAATATATTAAACTACTTTAGTATAAAATGAAATTGATGATTTTAAGCCGCATAGTGTTGGTGCCTTAATGCCTTACCATCTTCATACCAGCACCTTCTTTATACCGGATTTGATTGGTCGAATTTTTCAGTCCGGTACAACCAAGTTCTTCTGTAGAACCTTAAGAGTACATACCATCCAATGCAATGCCATACGATTCCCTATCAAAAGAAACCATCTTATAGAATCCAAAAGCCCAGCCGAATTCTAGGGGTTTCCTAGATATACAAATGCAGCAATTTAGCCCGCATCAATCGGTTATACAGAAACGCGATTATATCTTCTTGGGCAAGTATTTAATCCCCTTTCTAGGACAAGTTCCTCTTCCACCTTTTCCAGCTGGAGCCGTAGCCACAAATTCTCCCAACTGCAAACTTCCTTTAACATTAAAGCTATACCATGCTTGGTTCAATCGACCATTCGAACAACCCAATACAACCTCACTTCCCGTAACTGCAGTCAATGCCGTCTGTATCTGATCCTCGGTGTACGTAGCCGAATAACTTGGGACAATTCCGGCCTTCTCGAGTGCTTTATAAGTATCCAACTCTTTGAACAATCCCACGGCCCTTGTAAAGAAATCGACGACTTCATCACCAGCCTCGTATTTGTCGCCATAGCAAGATGGCGCGAGGGTGTTTACGCATGTTCCATGTTTGTTCATTTCATGTTCCCAAAAGGTTTCGGCAGATCCTCGATTGGGGAGCCAATATTCATGCATATATGCGAGAAGATCGGTTTGGGATGCGGCGGTAAGGATGGAGGTTATGTTGTAGTATTGAGGAGTACTATGGCAATATGTGGGATAGGAACCATCGCAGAGATCAGGCCTACGAGACTTGGTAAGCTTTTAAAGATGTGAGAATTGATGGCAGATGAACAAACCAAAGGCCATGAAGAGTCCAGCTATCAGCCGGCCCTATTGCAGGACTGTAATCCCAGAATTGAGTCTGGAGAAGTTGACCTCCGGGATAGACGAAGCAGCAAGAATCGGGAGCGGCGGTGCTGTTGTGGCAGGAGAGAGGAGAGGTTGATGGACATGACGGTGCATTTCCAAAGGGTATGTAGGGTCTAGGAGCTGCGACGGCCGATGAAGCAGATGATGGGTTATTGATTATTGGTATTTGTGATAGGAGACCGCCTGCAAAGGAGATGACCTTGCGAATAGAAGAGACGGAAGAAGTTGTGTTGGATGCCATTTTGGACCGACTGACTAAATGATTGTACGTTGATCGATTGATTGAGAGGAAAAGGGTTGTAAGAATGTAAGAATGTATTTGGTGATAATCAATTATGGAAGTGGATATGTATTGTATTTATATTGTATTCTATTGTATATACTCTAATGGAACAGAAGAAAAGGAAGCATGCTGCTGCGCATTCCTTCCCTTCGAACCTTCAAGCTCAGATAGCACGCAGGTGAGCTACGTAAAGTGCTAAATTAAGCGTGCTAAGGGACTGATAAGCACTTGGAGATGGCATGTGATAAGATAATTCGTCGATAAGCCCCTGTAGATTCCCTGTAGATTAGTCCATGTGCCCCTGAATGTTTCACCATCACTGAGTTGTACACAAAGAAAGATCAGGTACCACCAGTACTCGGCCAAGTGATGAACTCAACGATCTCAATGAATGCAATTCCTGTACCTGTACCGAATATACATTTCGACATATCTTTCTGGAATATCAATCTATGTGCTTGAGATGTGATCTCGATTTAATGCCCAAAATAATGGTATTTCTTTACCTACGTTGGTTATGTCGAATCACACGTAAATGTAACACAATTCTCCATTCAGCCCTCCTAGTGTGTTCATCAAATCTTTCAACGGCACAGGTCCCGCATTATATCCAATATCTTGTAGATCCTCCAAGGTGGTGTTTCTACTAGGAGGGACGTTACTCAAAGTGATCGTTCCTGAGACGGCATTCTGTCTCTTTGCTAAATCCTGAAGTTGCCATATCCACCAGACTCTATCTATCATACCGTGATGAAGATAGAAAGCTGGGTCGCCTGGAGATGTAAAGAAGTCCTACATGTATGTATTGTTAGTACTTTAGATCTTCAGGGAGGGGTCCGGAGAGGAAATTCACTTACACCGCCCGGATCACCACCCACTGTGAAATGCCCTCCAGTATGAACGCCCCATTCTCCTATACTGAACAAGCCTTGCATGACAGTCTGGAACCAATATATATCTGCATTTGAGGGTTTTGTTATGAGGTCGTAAGTATAGTTGGTTTTCGTAACAGCAGCACTATGAACGTTGACATCGCGGCGTAGACAACGGGGATTGTAACCGAAGCCGTCGGCTTGTGGGTTCACTGGCGTGCCGGATATTGTTCCAAAGACTGGGCCAAGGTGTACAGTCATACTACAAGAATATTTAGCATGTTGATATCATAATATGACCAAAGAGTTATACTTCTTGAACGGGCCTGTGGTAACGCATCCACCCCCGACACCAGGCGGGATAATGTCGAATGGCGCCGGTGCGAGATTGATAGGAACACCAGTGTGGTTGTAGTACAAGCCATTGCCGCTCATGCTAGTAGGACTACCGTCAAAGAGAGGGGAGTGTATCGGGTCATCGGCGTATCTGCCCCAGTTCCAATACTGACGTTCGTCAGTGATAGACTGTGGGAAAGTATAAAGCATAGGGCCCAGGAAGGTTTGAGACATTTGACGCGTGAAATACCAATTGTGGGTGATGGAAGACAAATGAACTCAAGACTCACAGGTTGATATCCTTTATATCCACATTCTTCACGGAGTGCTTTTTCGTACGTATGAACATAATATCTGTGCCAGCCCAGAAAATTGCCCTATATCATTAGTTCGGACTACAGGATACTCAGATACAGTATGTACCTACCGTAGCGTGAATGGTAAAGCTCTGATTCATATGCGCGGCAACGAAGTCATCAAAGCGACTTCGAACACCCGGAACCACTTCAGAAGGCGTGATGGGCTTTTTGGACTGTAAACAAAGAACAGCATTTGTGTATGCGATTCTATCCGCTCCTGAGAGATCGCTCCTGCAAAAGATTAGGTCTGGGAGCAACAGGACATCATTGTCACCTTACCATTCACGACGCTTTATGGCATTTTTGATCGTGCAAGTGTTGTGTGGATAATGTATAGCTTGATATGCCGCTAATTTCGCAAGACCTTGTGCTGCTAGTTTATCTACTGCATCGGGGGCATATGGCGGATACGAAGCTGCTTCAACGACATCAATGTATGACTGAAGAACAATAAAGGTTGAAAGAACTCCAAGAAAAAGAAAATGCATATTGAAAAGAGTAAACCTAGCGGGTTTGATAGCAAGAGTAATCATAAGTGCCATTGAACACTATTAATACTTCAGGTATTTTTAGTCTCCTTTCTCGTCTGTCACGATTATAAGTGTAATTACCTCGAAACTCTCCGGCCAGTAGCTGATTCTTCGGCTTCCAGACTCAAGAATGGGATGCTTTCGGACGGTTGAAAGCTTTAGGTACTCTTGGCAATGCGAGTGAAAACATCATATGGTGGTTTGACATGAGCAGATGCATTTATGCAGATACAGGCATCTGAAGTCTGATGAGTGATATCGAATGATACTTGTTGAGGTGTAATATTCTCCCTCAATATCCCCTGAATTCATTGGCGAAAGCTAAGCACTTGCATTGCTTACTCCATACAACAGCATTCTACAACTAGAAGCCGACACACATCCACAACCTTTTTTCACTGCAATCAATGGCATTTTATCTGACAGTCCTATCCTTGGAGTATGACTATCGGGTATAGGATACGAAGCCCGCCTTCGAATAAGTGAACCTCGCTGTGCGGTTATCTTTCTTGGCAAAGTCCTTTCTTTTGGTAAAGTTAGTAGTAACTTGGGTATTGATACCGTCAGAGTAAGTTGTGATCGAGTTAAAATATCTCAGTGGCTACATCGCACAAGTGCCACGCATCGAAGTCATCACACTACTTAGCCGGCAGTTTTCCCACATATAAGCACAGTCAGACTTTAGTTTAGACGGTTGATAGTGGCGTAAAAAATGAGAATTGTGCAGAATATCCCCGCATCATCAACGTCTAATCACCTCTCGGGAGAGTCCAGAGCTGGGCTAAGGCTGGTATCAAATTCTTGATTGTACATCAGAAGTGCCAGACGGCATCTAATTTGCAGGAACTTTAAAACATGATTTGCATGAAATTCACAATTGCAATGAGCGGTGTATCGTAAAGGTAGTTTTCTCTTCTCCTCAGTCAATTTACATGTACAACAGAAGAAATGATGAGATGGAAGACCTGCATCTTGATTGCATGGCGTCAAGCCACAGACGACAAGTAATATTAGTAAGCCATGAATTTGTCACGTGAATGGCTAAACTTCCACCACTCATGAATCACGTCGCTTCTACCAAATATGAATGCTTGTTCTTGCAGGCGGTGGGGATTATTTGATATTGGCTAACGACTTCCGATTTAATCACAACATCTTCATCATAAGACGATACGGTACATAAGAGGTCAGGGCAATTAGTTTGTTTATCCCACCATGGTCTTTCTCGTGGGATCACGATCATTGGGCCTCCATATGCAGAAATCGACGTTACGATCAGCTACACAAACTATAGTATGTTAAACCATGTCCACCCCACCCATGGTTCTAAGAAAGCTAGTATCTAACCACCTGTAGTTTCGTCAAATTCCTCTGGGCTGCATACACATTCGAGATTTCCATTCTTCGTTCTTCAGCTTTGTAAATCCGAATTCGGTATTTCGCAAATCGCCTCTACTGAAAGCTATCTCATCAAGTGGCGCTCGCCCTTTCTTCTCATCTACCCCATTAGCACGTGGTTCCAAGTGGGCACAACGGGAGCAACATGCCAAAAGCAAACATCAAAATAAACATACGCAACATACTCAAAATGAGCACCAACCCATCGATACAAGTCCGACAATCAGATACCGCAAACCCCGTTCTAGCTACCCACTTGCGATTGTCATTGCTGTAGGATGTACATTCGTAACCCTCAGCTACAACCGTTCTCCATTCGTTGATTTTCCCCTTCCCAATTTCATTCCTAAACTCACACCAGAATATTTCGATAGAAACTTCGTTCTTTCCCAGCAGAATATTGATGAGGGACGAATCCATACACTCATCACCCACAGCTTCATGCACCAGACATATTACCATCTGTTCGCGAACATGTATTGTATGCTAGCCATGGCTCCTCTGGTCAACCCTCTCACCTTCGTAACCATCTGGGCTGGCGCTGGTGTTACATGTTCCCTCGCCTCTCTATACATATGGAAGCACGGCCTTCCATTCAACCAGAACAAAAGCTCTATAAATTCTATAGATCGGGGTTGCGGTGCGTCTGGCAGTCTATCAGGCCTAATTACCATGTTGGCAGTAAAACATCCGAACGTGTCTTGGCAATTTATGTTCGTACCCATAGGAATTCCGGCATGGTTTTTGGTAGGAGGAGGAGCTGTCTATAGTATTTTGGCGCTTAATAACGGGTGGCAGCCGGGAGTTGGCCATGCAGGACATCTTGGGGGTTCGGCATTTGGTGTCTTGGCTGGTGTTGTGAGTAGACGACTTGGCTTGAGGGGATTTTGATGCGGTCTTTATGGAGGAAGTGATGGCCCTGAATAGGGTTTATCCTATACGGATATGTTCTCGTCTATTAACATAGTAGACTGCATGTGAGCTTTCATTGGTTGGAATATTTTAATCGAATTCGAGACCTGGAAGCTTTTCATCGTCAAACTATTCTTCGAATGGACGGGAAGCCTGGTTAAGTGTACAAGAAGCCGAATGAAGCATGAGATCGCTACATCCGTATGCTGAATCACCAGAACCGAAAAAGAAACCAGGTGAAAGGGGAAGATCAATTGAAAAAGATTCACTCAATGTTCTGTACCCGCTTTTCCTTCGCAACACTGGTATAGCAACTATCGCCGCCATCGTCACTGCCACCCACAATACATAATCTATACCCTCACATTTCAATTACAATTTATACATTCAAGCTTCTTCATCCGATTGAATTCAACCATGAGGCTGTTATTGTCTTACTATTATTGACATATTCTTCTTATTTAGCTCCATATCTAGCCATCTAATATAACTCCAATTCCGTAATTAATCTTGGTTGTTTTGAGATTCTTATTCATCATGTCGTTTCCTCGTCTCTTGAAGACATTAAACCAAAATTGGTTCATTTTTCTTCTCTAATGTGCCTCCGATAACTCTCCCCTTAACCTTATCTTCTCCTGCATCCAACTTGGCATTCTTAATCACCAAAGACAAAACCACAATCGGTGCACTCACACAGAGCGCCACGATGAGCAATTTTTGCATAGTCTCTTGATATGCCCTGTTGATTGCAATTCTCTCGGGTGTTCCCATAGGATACGCTAGAGCGTTGGTAATACTATTGTAAACAGCCTTGCTATCGATAGTGGATGAGTACTGGGCCAATTTCTTGGGAATATTTTGACCCCAGATAACGCCAGCAATGGCACTTCCAACAGCACCACCCATTTCTACACAAGTCAAGTAGACGGCTGTCGCGACAGCGACATTCTGATGACTAGGGACAGAAGCTTGGACAGCGAGTTGGGCTGGGACGTTGAGCATTCCTCCGCCGATACCAACAGCAATTTGCGTGCCAATGATCTGTGCGATAGATGAATTTTCTCTGCGGTAATGAAACATGAGTCCGATGCCCATCAGGTAGATAAGCGCACCAGCTGTAATGTATGGTTTGTAGTATTTGGTGTACTTGATAAAAAAAGATATGATGACAGAAGAAATGGTTGCCGTGAAAGAAAACACCTGTGTTACGTGGCCTGCAGCGGGAATAGAGAGATCTTGGACGACAAGAAGATAGGAGTAGAAGTATGGTTGAACCGAGAGGAAGAATGCCACTTGGAAGTATTAATACGAGAGCTTGCTAACAGACCAGAGTAAAACTTACTGAAGTAGAAGAATCCAATGCCACATCCTGCGCAGAATGTACGGGATTTCAAGAGACCTAGGGGAATAAGTGGATGCGGTGCAAGCTTTTTGACAGATTCCCAAACAGGAAAGCTGACAAGGCAAATAACCCCTAGAACGATCATTGCGATAATATCTGGGCTAGCCCATCCATTCGAGGCCTTAGAAGCAATAGTGAGCGGAATCAGAATAAGCGCAAACGCCGCACTCAACAGAATCATGCCTCCAATATCCAAGTCGTTCCAGAGAGTTTTTATGGTTGCAATCGGACCCAAGTTTTTTAAAGGCGACGGGGCAGTGAGGCCAGCCTTCTTTGCCTTTCTATTGTTGAGGAATAAAGACAACGCCAATGGTAAGAATACGACTGGCAAGATTATACACCATATGCCATAACCCCATCTCCATGTTGTAGTTTTAAGAATCTTGTCTCCAATTGGTGCACCAATCCAAACAGTGATCAAGAATGGAATCTGCGGCAAACTAGACCATAAAGCACGATTGAGGAGATTAGTCGTATCAGCAATGAAGACTTGCTGGAGGATTTGAAGACCGGTGGAGCCAGCTGCATAGAATATCTGGGCTGCGGCATAAGTTTGGACGTCGTTGGATATGGCCATTGTAGCGCCGCCGATAATGGCGAGAATGATCGAAATGCTGAAGGCTTCAAGTCGACCAAATACATCCGCGGTTTTGGCCATGGGCGCTTTAATAACAGCTATCCTTAATCAATACATATATACAAAAGGTCAGCAGTTACGGAGCTCACTGACCCATGACGACGCTTTGAACGACCAGTACTGTTGAAATCAAAGAGTGGTTGTTGAATGAGCTTGTCGCAAAAACAGAAAGTGACATGACCACTTGTGATTCGAGTGAAGTGGTGAAGGAGATAAGAAACATACTGAAATTTTTGTCAGAACGCCGAGGATCCACCAATGTCATCTCAAGAAATTTACCCGATGTATGCTATGATCAAAGACCATGTCGTCCAGGTCATTGACACGGCCTCGATGTTTTGTACACCAGCTTGGGTGGCATTTCCAATGTCATTATTGGCAGTTTCGATGTCTTTTTCATTCGGGCCTGGAGAATTTGCTCCTGCTCGAGCTTCAGAGTCTATTACCGAATCCTGTGTCTTGGATATGTTTGTAGAAGACTCCTCGGAGTCGACATTAGTTTCCTGCACCATGCTGATGGATGTTGATGGTTTTTGAGGTTGTGATGCGTCTCAAGGGCGATAGAGGGAGCGACGAAAATTGCGAATCATATTAGAACAAGTAGCAAACATAAGATTGAAGATGATCTTCCAAATGTGAACTACACATCTACCAGCTATGATAACATCATGGTTGAAGCTCTTGGGTGCGTCATTAGTGGCAACGCCGTTGCAAACCTTAATCGGCACTTGCAGCTTAAAGTCTCTCTATTAAACTCAATCATGGATGGACAAATCTTTGAGTAACCTTTTTAAGGAAAACCTTGAGCGGGGTAGGATAAAAATTCGAAGCAGAGAGGTAGATCATGATGAATGTGTATAATCCGCCTCCACTTTCTATGTCGTGCGTCCACTACTAGAAACTATAAGAACAAGTTACGTTGAATTATGCTAATTTCTGAAGACTTTTCCAATACGGTCACTGATGAAAGCTTGTATCCTCAATATTTTTGAGCGGGCCGTCGTGGCTTACAAACTCTTTCAATCGGTAATAAAATAATGCTTCATTCCCAGAATCCGAATCATCAGAAATAAGACTTACTCTTACTTCGACAAGTTGATATTCATTCCTCACAGAAACCCTTTCTCGACTACGAGCTGGTTTGGAACGAAGTGTATTGTATTGTTTGAAGGATAGCATTTGGTACTGAAAGAGAAGAAATTCTTGACATATTAAACTTTGAACGGGAGAGAGGTTGAACCACAAATCTATGCGGGTGTAAAGCTTTCGAGGGTGGCTTGCCAGTTCGAGGTATGCAAGTTCGAGGTTATCGTACAGTGAGTGACCTTTTAGCTCATCGACTGTGGTTTCGATAATCCGTGGGACATTTGTAACTTCCTCATTCGTAGTACATCGCCGTCTTGATAGGTAGATATCGTTATTTGTCTCGAGAAGTCTTGCTTTCCATCAGTTGGTGGCTGAAATCCTGCCGGGTAAATTTTTATATTGTGAGGTTGAAGTGAGGTTTGGGTGTTCTGATATCCGTCCTCAACGCGATAACCATAATGTGGCAACTGTAGCAGTACCCACCCGCCCGCACTCACAACGCGTTCTTGTCATCCAATACAGTCAGATCCGGGCATGTCCGACCTATCAACCTGATAAGCCATCCTAGAGACTGATCATTGACAGCCAAGACAACCCATACAGGAAGTTGATCGTGTGTTTTTGTCACTTGTGCCGTGCAATACCCCATACAACCGACACGCCGATGATTGTCCATCTTGGTCTAACTGGGTTAAGTGTGTCGTCCGATAAGTTTTTGACCGTTGATAACAAGCGTCCATTCGATATACATCCAATGCAATCAGTGCCTAGGCATGTAAATCAGATCAAGTCCGTGTCCACCAACACGATCCAGACGCAAGCATTGAAGCTATCAAGGAAGGCCATTATCTATCAGAAGAACAGGGTAAGTGGGACATGAAAAAAATGTCAGTGAATTGATTGGTAGTCGTCCGGTTGTAGTGTCTATCAAAGTGGAGTTTCTCTTTTCTTTCCTCAATCAAAAACTGTCAAGCTCTCCTCTCCTCTTCCTCCCCTTTTCCCTCCCTTCTCTCTCTCTCTCTCCCAAAAGAGAGCGCAATTACTTGGAGCATGATACCTATCTTCTCTTGACATTTGTTTCTTGTGAAGATTATCAACTCTTGCTTAACGTGGTGGTGATTGTCACTTGTTGATCCAGGTACCCGCACTTCCTCGCAAGAAAAAGTCCTTGTGTGTGTGTCAATTGAAAATTTATCCGAGATGTCCCCCGCCATGAACGTCGCGACTCTCAAAGCTCAATCGGCGGAAAAGGTTGGAGCTTTCAAGAATGCTTTCACGAGTCGACAGAATTTCATGGACTATGTGACAGTTCAAGATACTGCTCTCGATCGCCATTCGGGCTCCAATAAGGTCTGGTCCAATGAAGATCTGTAAGTTCCAACATCAATTGTTGCTCAATTGGACTCTTGTCGATGGATTGGCGCACGCCGAACAATTCAGCTACTAAATTCGTTCCTGTAGTGATCCAACACCTCCTGAAAAACGGACATGGCGTTGGTGGAACTTCGTTACCTTCTACCTGGGACTCTCCTTTGGCAATTGGACTTTGGGCTCGACCATGGTAGGAATTGGCCTTAATTGGTGGCAAGCTATCATCGTTATATTTGTCTCTCAATTGGTCAGTTCAGTCGCCATGTACTTCAACAGTCGATGCGCCTCGGTTTATCATATTGGATACCCTGTCGTAGCCAGGAGTGTCTTCGGAATGTATGGCTCATACTACTTCGTTGGAGCTCGCGCTGCCTTGGCTATTATCTGGTATGGTGTACAACGTAAGTGGTCCAGTTCATGACTCTCTGGCGCATTGAAACATCCTGCGTCTTCTTGCAAAGACTGAGCGAGCGAAATTCCATT